CGCTGGCTGCTCCCCTCCCCCACTGGCCTCGGCAGTGGCCCCAAACCACTCCGCATGGCTACAGCCTTGCCTCCCTCCTTCTGTTCTGAGATACTCATTTGTCTTCAAGAGTTATCTATTTCATTTCAGATTATTATTCTATTTTTTTTTTTATAGAGATTTTTGCTATAGGGTGCATGCGCTCGCCAGAGAGACAGAGAAAGAGAGACAGAGAGTGAGAAATCACCCCCTGGGGGGGATGGCCACGCCGCAATCCCTTCTCGTCCATTCTCCTCTTGGAATTTTGGGCAGGCTCGTACACAGTTTGAGTTTCAAGCTGCCCGGACTCAGACCACCGTCGGCTGTGTGGGAACTCAGGGCCCTAACCACTATACCACCTGCTGGCCCCTTATTTTTATTCTTTAAGAATTATTTAACTTTATTTATTATTATTATTATTATTTTCCAGTTTGATCAAAGAGAGACAGAGAAAGAGACAGAGGGAAAGTGAGAAGGCAAACCACCAGGTCTGGGACTCAAACCACAGTCAGCCCTATGGGAGTTCAGGGCCTTTAACCACCATGCCACCTGCTGGCCCCTATTATTATAGTTATTGATGTTGAATAGTTTAAGAATTATTTTATTAAATTTTATTTATTTAAATTTGACCAAAGAGGGACAGAGTGAGAAAGAGATGGAAACAGGCAAACTGAGAAAGCAAGCCACCAGGTCTGGGACTCGAACTGCAGTTGGCCATGTGGGAGTCCAGTAGCCTTAACCACCATCCCATCTGCCGGCCCCATTATTAATATTTTTTAAGAATTATTTTATTTAACTTTATTTATTTATTTACTTATTTTAATTTGACCAGAGAGAGCAGAGCACGAGAGAGACAGAAAGAGAGAGAGAAAGCAAGCCACTAGGTCTAGGACTCGAACTGCGGTCGGCCATGTGGGAGTCCAGCGCCCTTAACCACCGCGCCACCTGCCAGCACCAGGCCCCGTTATTATTATTTTTAAATTCACCAGAGAGAGAGAGGAAAAGTGAGAAAGGAAACTGCAAGGTTCAGGACTCGAACTGCAGTCAGCCATGTCAGAGAGCCTAGAGCCTTAACCACCACAGACTTGCCGGCCTCACCCTCCTTTGATAAAGCTCTTTTATCCCTGGAATTGAGAAAGGATTGCAGTTTCTGGATGAGTGTGCTTGGGCTTACTGTCACAAAGCAAACAGAACGGGCCGAACGGAGCCGAGACACGTCAGCTCTCAGCTCTGGAGGCAGGAAGTCTGAGAACGACGTGTCCTGCTCAGGGCCTCGTCCTGGACTCCGTGAGCCCGGGCATTCCATTCCTGGGCTTGTAGGTGGTGTTCTCCCTGTGTGGTTACCATCCTCCTTCTGTGTGTACGGATCCACATTTCCCCTTCCTGTAAGAGCACCGGTCACACGGGGTAGGGCCAACTTTAATGACCTTCTTTCTCTCTCTCTTTTTTAAATTTGCTCTAAGGCACCTGTGCTTACCAGAGAGAAACAGAGAGGGGAAGGAGGGAAGAGAAAGACTATCCCCCGGGGGGATATGACCATGCAATAACCCCCTTCCTCATCCTCTTCTGGACTCTGGGCATGTATGCACATGTGGTAGTGATTTTTTTCTTTTCTTTTTTTTTTTTAAGATATTTTGCCATAGGGCATGTGTGCTCACCAGGGACAGAGAGACGGAGAGGGAAAGTGAGAAATCATGCCCTTCGTTCTTCTCTCGGGGGTCTGGGCACACGCGCACATCCCCCTAGCGTGATTTTCAAGCAGCCAGGTCTGGGACTCGAACCATGATATCAGCCACGTGGAAGTGCAGCACTGTAACCATTACGTCTCCTGCTGCGCCTCCCCAATTCTCCAGGCCTGCCCAGCCCCCTTACACTCTCCTGTCCCCAATCCCCAGGTGACACAGGACAAGATCATCTGTCTGCCCAGCCATGATCCCCGGGAGAACGTGTCGGAGGCCCCATGCCGGCAACTCCTGCCGCGGGGCGTCTCGGAGCAGATGGGAGGCCTGCGGGAGCTGAGCGGCCTTAAGAACAACCTCGACCTGCAGCAGTACAGCTTCATTAACCAGCTCTGCTACGAGACGGCGCTGCACTGGTACGCCAAGTACTTCCCCTACCTGGTCGTCATCCACACGCTCATCTTCATGGTCTGCGCGAGCTTCTGGTTCAAGTTCCCCGGCACCAGCTCCAAGATCGAACACTTCATCTCCATCCTGGGCAAGTGTTTCGACTCACCGTGGACCACGCGGGCCCTGTCGGAAGTCTCTGGGGAGAACCAGAAGGGCCTGATCACCAGGCAGGCCACGGTGACCGGGGCGGCCCCGGCAGCTGCAGCCGCCTCCGGGCAGGGGAAGGCGGGGGAGAAGGAGAAGGAGAAGGTGTTGGCGGAGCCTGAGAAGGTGGTCACGGAGCCGCCGGTTGTCACCCTGCTAGACAAAAAGGAGGGAGAGCAGGCGAAAGCGCTGTTTGAGAAGGTGAAGAAGTTCCGCGTGCACGTGGAAGGGGGCGACATCCTCTACACCATGTACATCCTGCAGACGGTACTCAAGGTATGCAAGTTCTTGGGCATCCTGGTCTACAACCTCGTCTACGTGGAGAAGATCAGCTTCCTGGTGGCCTGCAGGGTGGAGACCTCGGAAGTCACCGGCTACGCCAGCTTCTGCTGCAACCACACCAAGGCCCACCTCTTCTCCAAGCTGGCCTTCTGCTATATCTCCTTCGTGTGCATCTATGGACTCACGTGCCTGTACACCCTCTACTGGCTCTTTCACCGACCGCTCAAGGAGTACTCCTTCCGATCCGTGCGGGAGGAGACGGGCATGGGGGACATCCCGGATGTCAAGAACGACTTCGCGTTCATGCTGCATCTCATCGACCAGTACGACTCGCTCTACTCCAAGCGCTTCGCCGTCTTCCTCTCCGAGGTCAGCGAGAGCCGCCTGAAACAGCTCAACCTCAACCACGAGTGGACACCCGACAAGCTGCGCCAGAAACTGCAACGGAACGCACACGGCCGGCTAGAGCTGGGGCTCTGCATGCTCCCCGGACTGCCCGACACGGTCTTCGAGCTCAGCGAGGTGGAGGCGCTGCGGCTGGAGGCTATCTGTGAGATCACCTTCCCCCCGGGGCTGTCGCAGCTCGTGCATCTGCAGGAGCTGAGCTTGCTGCACTCGCCCGCCAAGCTGCCATTTTCCTTGCAGGTCTTCCTGCGTGACCGCCTGAAGGTGATCCGCGTCAAATGTGAGGAGCTCCGGGAAGTGCCCCTCTGGGTGTTTGGCCTTCGAGGCTTGGAGGAACTCCATCTTGAAGGGCTTTTCCCCCAAGAGGTGGCTCGGGCAGCTGTGCTCGAGAGCCTCCGGGAGCTAAAGCTGCTTAAGGTCCTCTCTCTCCGGAGCAATGCCGGGAAGGTGCCAGCCAGCGTGACGGACGTAGCCGGGCACCTGCAGCGGCTCAGTCTGCACAATGATGGGGCCCGTCTAATCACCCTCAACAGCCTCAAGAAGCTGGTGGCCTTGCGGGAGCTGGAGCTGGTGGCCTGCGGGCTGGAGCGTATCCCCCACGCCATCTTCAGCCTGGGCGCGCTGCAGGAACTTGACCTCAAGGACAACCACTTGAGGTCCATCGAAGAGATCCTTAGTTTCCAGCACTGCCGGAAGCTGGTGACGCTCCGGCTCTGGCACAACCAGATCGCCTATATCCCTGAGCACGTGCGCAAACTCCGTGGCCTGGAGCAGCTCTACCTTAGCTACAACAAGCTCGAGGCCCTGCCCAGCCAGCTCGGCCTGTGCTCTGGGCTCCGTCTGCTGGATGTGTCCCACAATGCACTGCACTCCCTGCCGCCCGAGGTGGGCCTCTTACAGAACCTGCAGCACCTGGACCTCTCCTACAACGCCCTCGAGGCCCTGCCCGAGGAACTCTTTTACTGCCGCAAGCTACGGACGTTCCTTCTCAGCTACAATCACCTGCGTCAACTGTGGCCCCTCGTGGGTAACCTCAGGGCCCTCAGTCGCCTGGAGCTCAAGGGCAACCGGTTGGAGGCACTTCCGGAAGAACTTGGCAACTGCGAAGGACTCAAGAAATCGGGGCTGCAGGTGGAGGACACCCTTTATGAGGGCCTGCCGGCAGAGGTGCGAGAGAAGATGCAGGAGGAATGAGGCCAGCCAGGGCGGGGCAGGTTGGAGTAGAGGTCTGTAGATGATTCCACCCAGAATCTGCCACCATCCTTCCGGAGGAGGTGGCCAAGGCCAGGCGTGTCAGGCTTGTGGCTTCCAGACAAGATCCTGGGACTGGTTTGTCTGGGGAGAGACAGGAGATTGGATTTGGGGTGGAACCCCTAAAGAGGGATTAACTGAATCATGGGACGTTCAGCTTGAGAACCACTTGTGTGTCTTTGTCTGGCAGGCCTGTTCTTTCTCTGCTGCCCTGCCTCCCCCCACCCGGACATTCCAGCTCAACCAGTGCCACGCACAGGAGTGGGGGCACATCCCAATGGGATTTCCAACCCTCTCACCAGCCACGCAACAAAGCCGCTTACATCTGGGGTTCTCTCCCAAGGAGGGGACACAGACGCCAGGGACCAACCCCTCCCCCCAACTTTGATGCTAATCCCTTATTTATAAATCGTTTGCTGTGGACACGGGCATGCGCTCGCAGAACAATGGTTCTCATATTTGGCTTCGCACCAAAACCAACGACTGCAAAAGAAAACATGTCAGGCGCCACTTTTGGAAGACTGGCTCAGGAGGCTTGAGTGGAGGTCAGGGACCCTGCTTGTACACAAACACCCGGGTAGCTCTGATGCAGGTGGTCCTAGAACGGCAGGTTGGGAAAGTGCTGACTCAAATAATAGCTCTCTGAATGTCTAGCTCTGACCCTTTTTAGACCATTAGAGAAGCCAAGAAAAGCTGGGCTCGCCCCTCCCCAGGAGAATGCTCGCACATGTACATGCAAGACTCTGCAAACAACTTCAGGCAGCTGGCAGATTCCCCCCGAGGACGAGCCAGAGACTTCCTAAGGTTGGCAGATTCCTGGTTAAGGTTACCTGGCGCGGCAGCTACATTATTCTGAGGAAAGAATTTTTAAAATTTGCTATAGCGTGTATGCCCCTTGCCAGAGAGAGTCAGAGAGGGGAAGCGAGAGGGAAAGTGATAAAACACCCGCAGGGGGGGGATGGCCACCCCTCAATCCCTTCTCCGTTCTCCTCTTGGAATTTTGGGCATGCACGCCCATGCCCCTGGTGTGAGTTTCAAGCTGCTGGGTCCATACTCGAATAGCACAGTCGGCCGTATGGGATCCAGCTACCTTACCCTTCAAACCACTGGCTGGCCTAGGACTTCATGTTTTGGATGGTCCGTGTGTGGAACATATATATCCATGGGTACTTAACAAATACTACCTGGGGCTGGCAGGTGGTGGGCGCTTCGGGACACTGGACTCCCACATGGCTGACTGTGGTTCGAGTTCTGAACTTCGCAGCTTGCTTTCTTGCTTTCCCTCTCTCTCTCTCTCTCTCTGGCCAAGTTAAAATAATAATCATCATAAAGTTAAAATAAATATTAATTATAAGAACTATACTTCTGATCTCTTATGTCCACGCCTGTTGTCCTCTCAGCCTTCTGTTTTCACAGGACCAAGTGGTAACACCCAAGGTTGACAGTCTCGTCCTGGGGGTAGAGGCAGAGAAGGCAACTTAGGAGAGGAGGAGGTAGAGACCTTCTCTAACCAGGAGAAATCAGAAGGCCTAGCTTTTTTCCGGAACATCCTTTGTTTCTTCCACCTTCTCTCTCTCTTTTTTCTTTTTTTAAATTATTTTATTTAACTTTATTTACTCATTCACTTATTTATTTCAATTTGACCAGAGAGGGGGAGAGAGAGAGAGAGAGAGAGAGAGCGAGCGGGTGTGGCTGGGACGCAGTCGACCATGTGAGATTCTAGCCCCCTTAACTACCACACCACCTGCCAGACCCTCTCTCTCTCTCTTTTTTTTTTTAAAGAATTATTTAATTTATTCATTCACTTATTTTAATTTGACCAGAGACACAGAGGGAGGGAAAGTGAGAAAGCAAGCCACAAGGTCCGGGACTCAAACGGTGGTCTGCCGTGTGGGAGTGTCCAGTGACTTAACCAGCACCTCACTCGCTGGTCCCCTCCACCTTTTCTTTTATCCTAACTCCACATTTTGTGTCTGCTCCACCTGAGTCATCAGCTGTGGAGTCCCCACTGCCCGCGACGCCCAGTGTTCTTGCCCTACACCAGGACCAGGCAGGCACCTGGCTCAGTCCGCCTCACCCTGACATCTGGGCTTGGCGGCCTCCCAGGTGTCTGCAAAATGCGAGCCTCGGCCAGGCACCTGAGAGCGCACGCAGCTGCTCTGGGGGTGGGGGAACCAGGGCTCCAGATGGTGACATTTCCCCAGTACCCTTCTGACCACTTGAAGGCGCTCCAGGCAGGGCGTCCGTCTTCAGATAGGAATTCCGCATGACCAGGAGCTGGGCTCACATTCCTAGGGCCGGACAGACGGGGGAGGGGGAGAGTTTGAAGGTCAGGAATTCTGGCCTTGACCTTGGCTCTGGTGCTGAGGTCAGGGGTCATGTTGCCGGGTTCTCAGCGCCCCCCCTCCCCGCCGCGCCTGAACTCAGCCAATCCAGAGCTTGCTGGAACTGGCCGGAATGGAAAGGGTTCCCCATTTATGCCTAATTATGGTGAGGAGGCGGCGCCGGGCAGCGAGCAGGAAGCCAGACACCAATTAAACATAACAGGGATCCTAATGATGCAGTCCAAGGCCAGAAGGCCGTTCTGAAGCGCCGCTGCCAGAAAGCATCTTGCTGGCAAGAGCGAGGACACAGGACACAACAGAGCACGGACCACAGGCTACAGCAGTGAATCAGGAGCCGGGCGCGCATGCGCAGCAGAAGGCACGCGCGCGATCGCGTCGCCTCTTCGGTGCGCATGCGCGCTGCTTTCCCCCGCCCACCGCTCTCTGAAGAACCTTGGGTTTCCACGAAGAATTGCTCACCAGAGTGGTTGAGAATTCGCGCATGCGCAACACAGCGAGATGACTGCCCCTTCCCGCCGCGAGCTCTAGGTGGCGTCATCCCTCCGGCTGGGACGAAGGACGCACGCACGGAGGTTCGCACGCTGGAAGGGCGGGTGAGCGCCGCGGGCATGCGTCGTGTGAAGCGAGACGGCGGCTCGGCGGGGTCAACCAAGCGCAGGCGCAGTGCGGTGTTTGTCTGCCGGACTGACGGGCGGCCGGGCGGTGCGCGGCGGCGGCGGCGGCGGGG